TTACCGTTGCATTGCTGTGTGACTTGCAGCGTATAATTCGTGTGATGCGTGCCTGCGAAGCTCGCGGAGCGGCGGTGGCGCGCGTTGCTCTCGGCTGTCATCCTGTGTGACAGCTGTCATCCTGTGTGACAGGTGCTTACCGTTGCATTGCTGTGTGACTTGCAGCGTATAATTCGTGTGATGCGTGCCTGCGAAGCTCGCGGAGCGGCGGTGTCGCGCGTTGCTCTCGGCTGTCATCCTGTCAAACAGGACTCCATTTAGTTTTGTTTATAGAGGGAATAAGATCGGCGATTATGATATTTTCATAAATATATAAGGTGTAAAAAAATCAACTGCAAATATTTTAAGGGGTGAACCAGCCCATGAAACTGAACAACTTTCCCCAAGGAACATAGGTCGAAATATGAAAAAAAAATTGGACCTCCCATACAAAATGTACCAGCCGGCCGAGTCGATTTGTATGGGAGACCAAATTTTATGCAGCCAGCTTGTTTCGACCAGGAATGCTCCGGGGTGATATTTTTGATAGATGAAGAAAACTTTGTTGGATGTTACTTGTATTTCGACATTATTCTTTTGTATTTTATTGTAATATGCAATAAATATTCAAAAAAATAAAATTGTCTTAATCCATACTTCCATACTAATATTATAAATTCGAAAGTAACTCTGTCTGTCTGTCGGCTACGCTTTCACGCCTAAACCACTGAACAGGTGTTGATGAAAATTGGCATGAGCATAGATAATAACCTGAGAAAGGACATAGGCTACTTTTTTCTGCGGAAAAATTCCGTTGGAAAATTGAAAATTCAAAAAACGATTTATTCAGACGCCCAAAACTACCTACAGAAAGAAAACACACAAGTATCCGTGGTTGATATTACTCTGCAGGTTTTGTCAGGCGCTCAAAAAATATAGTAATATACTTAGGTATCATCAAGATCTTGCTACAAAAAAAAACTTTGCATGTTAATTTGTCCGAATGCATAGTTCATGAAAAATGGGAGGATGAATGCCTACGTAGGTATCAGAATGGCCATCGCGCGCCATATGAAACATACTAAACGCATCAGAACCTTCTTTTAACACAAAAAAGGAGTTACATAGGACGCCAAGTGTCACTCGCAATTCATATCCATACTTCCATACTATACTTATACAATTATATAGGGTTACATTTCATTAAGTACAAATCTCTTGAGGGTTATGAAACGATACGAAGTTCGCAGGTACCAGCTAGTATTATACACGGTTACTTTTATATCACCCCGGAAATTTTCAGGGTTGTATCAGAACACGATAAACAACAGATATCATTAAAAAAAACATATGCTATTTTTTTTTGTATTTTTTTGCTACCTATCCATAAAATAAAATAAATGTTGGGCACTCTAATCAGTTTACTACGATCGACAACTCACGTGAAAGACAATGAATGAAAAATAAACCATCCAAAATAAATGAGGCTTTCCTTGTATGACGGGACTCTTATCCGAACCAGTATTAAATTTGGGCGCTTATTACTGCAACGTCGCAATCTAACTTCAAGCAAAAGTAATTTGCATGTCGCTTGTAATAAAAATCATAATCGTGCGAAAATTTGCAAAGAAAATCACCACGTGAAAACAGTGTGCAAGTGAGACAGCGTAAGCGCACGCGCTCCATCCCTCCAACAACCCCCAATTAGTCCGGGTTTCACCTTTCGAGAGCAAACACGTACGCGCGAAATTATGTTGCCTCGCCCGCGACGCGGGAATCCCGAATATTCCTCTCGGGAGTACACGATGATGTTGCGTGCTTACTTTCTTGCTGGGGAAAGTTTAGCGGCGGCTCGCAGGTTGTACCAGGAACAGCACCCGAACTGGAGAGTGCCGGATGAGTCGACGTTTCTGCGGGTCTACCAAAATTCGCTGGATTATGGTCAGTTCAGGGAACCAACACACGCCCAAGGGCGAGGAAGACCAAGATACAACATTCACGATGATGTTCTGGATTGGTTCGAAGAGGATCCGCGGCGCAGCACAAATGAAGCAGCCCGGCATTTTGGAATCAGCCAGTATTGTGCGTGGAAAATTGTTAGCTCCGCTGGACAGCATCCATATCATTTTAGGAAAGTGCAGGAGTTGACGGAAAGAGATAGGGACCCGCGCATGGATTATTGCCAGTGGCTCTTAGAGCACCAAAATGATAACATTTTATTTACGGATGAGTGCCTCTTCACAAGAGTCGGACTTTTTAATATCCATAACGAACATTACTGGAGTTACGTGAACCCATACTTGACACGGCAACATTCGTATCAAAACCGATTTAGTTGGAACGTATGGGCCGGTGTTATCAATGGACATGTAATCGGGCCATATTTCATCCGTGGACGTTTAACAGGACAAAGTTATTTGCGTATTTTACAGAGACAGTTGCCAAGGATGTTAGACGGTGTTCCATTGGCTTATTAGAATGGTATGTACTACCAACAAGACGGGGCTCCGCCCCACTATGCCGGTGCAGTGCGTGAATACCTAAACGAACAATTTGGAGACCGCTGGATCGGTCGCGGTGGGCCTGTAGCATGGCCAGCGCGGTCCCCTGATCTTACGCCAATGGACTTTTATTTGTGGAGTGAGATCAAGCGGCTGGTGTATGTGAACGAACCGACTAGTGCGAATGACTTAAAACGCCGAATCAAAGCCGCATTTCGGGTCGTTAAAAGCCAACAAAACGTGTTGTGGTCTTTGAAAGCGCATGCAATCAAACGTGCGCAACTGTGTTTGAGACAAAGAGGCGGACACTTTGAACAATTACTGGGATATGATGATTATGAAGTAGAAATGTAAGTAATTTGAACTCTTTTTTTAATTTGATTGACAATTAGTGTAAATACAAGTTGATTACAATTTTTAGTAGTCCTGCTTTGCTAAGATACCTTTGATTATTTTAGTGTTAACTTAGTATTTCGGTGTTGTCCGGTCCTAAGCCCGTGTAAGTAGGAAGGAGAAATTGTTATCAACTTATTTACCTACCTTACCTACCTGCTGGTTAGGTACATACAGCTCATTACAGCTGGTTCGCGTTCGCGCCGTAATAATGCGACGTTGCCGTTCCGCCTCATTCATTGTTTTTATCACTGTCATTCACTAGATCTACGCATAGTGTACATAAATAAGGGGGAGAAATGAGATAATTTCTAATAATTTTGAAAAATTGTACATTCACGATAATTTTGATTTTTATTTTTTAATCAAATTATTATCGTAACCCGAGTCAGCCCTAAATTTATCCGGGGTGATAAAAAAGTAACCGTGTATAGTTTTAATACTATACGGTATTATCTGTAATTTGAGATGGAATTTACTGTAGTTTTGGTCAAGGTTTTCTGTAGTTTTGGACCAAATTTGCCGTATTTTTATACGAGTTTGACCGTAATTTTAATCGAATCTGACTTTTTTTTTTTGTAACTACTACCTGAGATGCGTATCCGCCCTGGTATCACTATAACAACTCGGCGCGGGGCTGTGTCTCCTAGGTCTGAAGTACATCTAATATGACTGATTGTATACAAGTTTGTTTGTCGTTCTCTTATAACTACTACCTGAGATGCGCATCCGCTCTGGTATCACTATAACAGCTCGGCGCGGGACTATGTCTCCTAGGTCTGAAGTACGGCGCGTCGTTAGCCCCTGAAATAAAAATGAATAATAATAATCACACAAATATAATATTATTTGGTACAAGTTTGATAAACTATGAGACATTACAATTTATTAGTTATATTATTATTTTCAGCTGATAAGTTCTCGGAAACGGTTCCAACAATTTTCACGAAACTTCTGATGTAGGTAGGAGGAGGTTCCAGGGGCGATAAATCGATCTAGCTAGATTTCATACTCTAAAAATCATTTGTTACCTGTTTTTTGAGAGTTGTTTTATACTAACAATGACCTCTATAGATATGATGTAATACCTGAAGACGCCGCTCTTCGTCTGGGATGTGCGGTGATGGTGTCTCGGGAGCCCCCGGGCGCGGCGCGCTCCGCTTGGTGGTCGCCGTCGGCCTCCGAGTCCAGTTTGTCGTCTAATGTGCTGTCCCATACCTGTTATAGTCGAAGCGGTTCAAATAAATATATTTCATAAAAATATCACTTTCATTCGTGGCATAAATAAAGATCCACTTGATTCGTAACTGTACTTGCTGAAGAGTAATTCGATAGGCGCGTCTAGGGCATCCAATCCCGGTATACCGAGATCTCGAAATACCGAGATTCCGCGCCATTTTCAGATCCCGCACGGTGCGGGATTACGAGTGCGGGATCCGCGGGAAACAGCAACAAAATGTCCTTCCAATAGCGAGACTGCTCGAGGCAAACGACCATAAAATTACGTGCCTCACCCGAGGCAACGCATGCTCGTGCTCCGGCGAACGCGCGCGGGCCGAGCTAAAATCTACGAGATGTTTGCCTATTATTTATTTAGGGGTCCAAATTGGGTTGGCTCGCCTGCGCACGAGCGTATGCCGCGCGAGGCAGTGAGCACCCGAGCAGCCTCGGTTGGTGTGGACGCACCTAATCACAAAAAAATGAAGGTAAAAATAGTAACTTACAGGTTCTTTGAGTTCTTCATGTAGTTGATCCATGAAACATCGTAAGAACTCCTGGGTATCGTGTTGGTGGTAACCGCGAAACATTGGATGCACCTATACAGATGGAATAATAATTTTATACATGAAATAAAAATACAGCGAACTTCATTTTTATATTTTTTGGAAACTTGCAGAATTTGCCACCGCAGGATGGATTTGGCGCCGCCTCTACCATCTAGGCTACAGCGGCTCACTCTATCCAAGCCCGCGAATTTTCGCAAGTGTATCTTGACCACTAACGCGTGGTTAATTTTTATAACAAAATTCGGTATTTTAATGCACTCAAAACGCTATATTATTCTCATAAATGAAAATTTGTTCGATATAAGCATCAAGAGGTTAAAAATTCGTTAGAACTGGCCAAACGCCGGTAGCTCAGTTTGCAGAGCATTGGAACGGTACCCCACGGTCCCGGGTTCGAAGTCCCGGCCGACGTTAACTTTTAAACTTTCTTGTTCTTATTTTCATTTATGACAACAAGATTCATTTACCTGAACTATGCCAGGCTTATTTAAATTACTCATCGATACTTGTGGCTTTTGGGTAGAAAAGACAGAAAGATTTGTTCAGCAAATAATGCTTTTTATGTGTAGGAGTATCTTTTGTAACAATGGCTTAGCCACAAAAAGTTAGACAAGCGACGCACGTGTGATTAATAGTAGGTTGTTGACGAGGACGGGAAATAAGACTTGGACTGACGAGTAGAGTTTGAAGTCCGAGCCGCAGGCGAGGACTTTAAAAATACGAGTCTGGCAAAGTCATTTTCCCCAAAGCTTACATAGTGCTTTTCTCAAAAATATGCTAGGAAATTATAAAGATTTTAATTTATTTTATAGTCATTTGATATAAAAAGTTGTTTTACTGATTACTAAGTCAAGATGTGGATTAGGAGTTATTCTTTTTTTATTTTGTACTTTCTGAACGATTTCGATATCGCGCCAGAAAAGTTGTATGGAATCCATTGCTGGTGTGTAAAAAAGAAATCGTTCAGAAATTACAAAATCACAGGCAATGTCAAACTTTCTGGATTGTTTTCTTGAAAGAAATTGTCATATTTCCTAGCATGTTCGAGAAAAATAAAATATCATACAAAATTAGCGACTTTTGCGCAGACTTGAAATAAAAACTGATTTATAAAAGAAAAATATACTTCATGAAAGGAATATTTTTACTTACATTTCTAATTCCGTATAATATTCCATTAGGTACGACGTAGCCTCTAGTTTTTCTACTCCACATATCTCTTATTAATTTTTGGTATGCTCTGTAAAGACAAAATACAATTTTATAAAATATGTATTGAATTATGATAAATTTTGTCCAGGAACATGGACATAGGACTTCATTGTGAATAAAATATTAGCTAAACAAAATTTTCTGTTGGTAGGATCCTAGTCTTTTTTTCTAATAATTTGGCTATAATACAACGTGTTACAAAACAACCAATAAAGCTCCCATACAAATTGAGTTCATTTTGTATGGGAGGTCCAATTTTATTTCATATTTCGAATCATGTTCCATGGGAAAAGTTGTACAGTTTTATGAGTACCTTGACCTCCTTTCAGCTTTATTGGTTGTTTTGTAACACTCAGTATAAGTCCTTGGGGCGATCTGCTTTACGAGGTGTAAAAAAGAACAGTGTACCGAAAACTTTTAAGCTTAGTTCAGATGATGAAAGAAAAGCTTTTACACGCTTACCGACTGAGCTGCGGTTTTTTATCCGCAGCTAACACAGCGACCGCGGCGCCGCATTCTAAGAAATATGATGTCAACGGTTGCGTATTGCTTAATGCTTGTAGTGCTGCATTCATGTAGCACGTGTTGCCCATGTTCTGGAGGCCTACCAGACCTAGAAAATTAACAAAAATCTGAAATAAGTATATGCAACGTTGCATTAAATTGGATAAGTTGTTTCAAGCTCGTGCGGAAAAAAATCCTAGTGACATAATGATTCGTCGCGTTGGACATAGATGACTTAGAGAAGGCGGCTGATAGTGACTGGATGGCGAAAACGGGAGATAGTGCCTTCTGGTGTACCCTGAAGGAGGCCTATGTCCAGCAGTGGACTGTTATAGAGTGCTGTGTGGTGTGATGTTTATTATGTTTGGGGAGCTTATAGCTACTTATACAATATTATTTTAAGTTTATAGGTATTTAAAAGCCAATTACAAAGCTACCACATATAGTTAAAAGATTAAACAATCTAGCTCGGCATAAAGAAAAACATAAAATAATTCAGTATCCTAAAAAAATTAAAAGAGGCAAGCACAAATACTTTTTTTATGGAAAAGCTACAGATAAGATGAACAAGTCAATCTGAAAGGCTATCAAAGAAATCTTTCGCTGCATTATTTTTGTGGCGTCGTTTAGTGTTGATGTGATGATACAATTCTAGGATTACACACCTCTTGGCCTGGAGTCATCATAGTCCATATCATCAGGGTCAGTGTCCTCGGGAGACACGATGTTGAGTCCCACGGAGCCCAGCCGCCTGCCCACTAGTGGACTCTCCAAACATGTCGAGTCTGGGTTCATCTGCAAGTTAATTACATATTGTTGGACGGTATGGATTATGGATATTATGGTTACTTCAATGACATTCTTAGTTGTGAAAACTTTGCATGCTAGAGGCATAGTAGAAAGGCGGGAAGTAGGCTAACTCCGGCCCAATCCGCGTTATAATTGCCTACTCTCTTAGGGTTGTCAGTGTTGTCACTTTCAACGATTCAGTGCCTAGGAATTGGCAAGAGTCAAGCAGTTGCATTTTGAACTTAGTATTAGTAGGTAGAAAAAGTCCTTTTGCTCATATATACGATGGCCCTTTGCGTTTGCACGCGGCGTCTTTTGTTTGGGATTCGGCACGCGCGACCGCATCTGAGTGACTTATTACTACGGACTATTAAGTTAATTCACAACGTGTCGTCAGAATAATTCCCCGGTAGTCGGCTTAAAACTCTGACACCAAGGGTTTATCGGGTGGATTACCTAATGTGAGCAACCGGCACACTTCAACCTACTAGACTAGGTACCTAAAACCTACAAGTTACCAGCGTACCGATAGAAAACGAATAATCATTACTGCAAATAGACAACTCATAAATCTTATTATCGAGTTAGGTACAACATCGAGAAATTGATAGGTATATCATTTTAAAACAAATGAATAGGTACATACTTAGATACCTTTCCTGGTCATTGGGTAATTTGAAAAAAGACAAGTCTGGGATTGACGAATTATTTAAACAGCCAAACGCATAGCAATACTTTCGTTTGCGATAATCAGCCATTTTACAGTCGTGGTTTCGCCGTACTGGTAAGCCGTGACGCGTGACTCGTCGTGCGGTGTCGACTGGCGGCCCCGACCGAGGCTACCCGAAACTGACCGAGATTTGTCAGTGTGTGCGTGCGGCGACGCATGGATACTATCGCGCACACATACAAGCCGGGCGCGGTGCGGTTGTTCTAAGATAACTTACTTCCCCCCATCTTTATGCTATGCCAGAGGACCTTTTACAACGCCACTGACGTTGCAGTATGTCTGGCCGAGTACTGGTACAAATTAATTTAAAGCCAAAAGCGACACATCAACTCTCAAATCCTGTAGTCGCTTCGTACGACACCCACAGGAAAGATATGGGGCCAGCGCGGTTAGTTAAGGACTTAAGAAAGGCTTAGGATATGGTCCGACGATATAGTCTGCTGTAGGGTCCTGTTGGACGTGTTGTTGTGGCACGATTCGAAAGAATGTCGCAATATAAAAGTCGCCTATGTCCAGCAGTGAGCTATTATAGGCTAGATATATAGGATATGATTAAAGAACAAACTCAGAAGAACCAAAGGGTTTGCGTTGTGTCACGAGGACTATCCGACCCGGACCTGCAATGCGAGGACTCGTGCGAAGTTCACTGACTTCATCTGCACCGCTTGGAGTAAACTTCGCACACGGATCGGTACGCGCGTACAACCGCGCGACGCAGCGCACGGTCTAATTTATCAGGCGTTACTTTGTGGAAAGGATGTCCATCTTGATGAAAGAGATACAAATAAATCCTTTAGGTGCATAATGTCCATTTTGCAAAATGTCCAGTGGTGAAAAAATGTCCAGTTTGCAAAATGTCTAATTGCAAAATGTCCAGTTTACAATAAGTCCAGTTTATATGAAATACTGGGTCACTGACCCAAGTGTTTTGGGGAAAGATGTTCGGTTTCATAGTCTGAACTCACCCATTAATTTCGCTAATTGTATTTTTGCAAACTGGTAATTTTTCAAATTAGATCATCTTCAAACTGGACATTTTGCAATTGGACATTTTGCAAACTGGACATTTTACAAACTGGACATTTTACAAACTGGACATTATGCAAACTGGTCATTTTTTCACCACTGGACATTATGCACCTAAAGGAAATAAATATCTTAAGCTTCTTGCAGTTATTTATTTATGTCTCTTTCATGAAAAAGTGTACCTCTCGATGAGCCACGGCTGCTCGAATATGGACCTCTTTTTCGCAAAGGTAGCACCATATCCGCTCCGTCGACACGTTCATATGCACGCAGTGGGACGGGTAGTTCTGCGAACAAAATATGTGGGTTAACATTAGATTCATCATCATTTTTTCGGTCTAGATTGCCTCTCCTAATATATTTCTTCCATGGTTGAGGCTATGAGAAACAGACAGTACAGCAATATGTTCAAAAACACTCGTCACTCATAGATAGTCCCTACAATTTATGCCATATGTGGTGGTGCGAAAGACTTGCAAATAATCACGCGTAAGAAATATCTAGTTTAAGTTCGTATATTTGAATTAAGCATTCAAATTCTATGACCGGAAATCAAACTCGGGACTTTTCCAAGGAGATATATTTATAGGCAGTCGGGTAATTTGCCATACGCATCAATTAAATTAAACTAATTAATCAATCCTTACTTTTCATTTAATACCTAGTTATAAATTAATCATCTAAAACAAAGTGGCTTAATAGAAAACAAAAGCACCGCCTGCGGTAATTTCAAAGTCGTATTTTGCGATTAAAATCACCATCACGAAGAAACGAATTTATGAATTTTCACGCTGCTGAGACGCGTCTAACGACACCTCACATGTCAAGATCCGCCCAGCCGTTTAGGCTGTAGCCCTTGAAAACGAATTTCTGGATACATACACACGTAAATACATAGTTTCGAAAAACATAATCCTCCTGAGGCAGTCGGGTAATCATATTAGAAGTTCGTACGAATTGAGAACCTCCTGTTTTGTTTTTGGTTGGTTAATTAGATTAGATCATACCTACGTGCGACGTAATAAATAATTTACCCTTTGTAATACCTGGTAGTATAGTAAATAACTTATTTACATTGTGCCTCGGTACTCGCTGCGCGAAATATAAGGTCCTATTAAATTCACTGCAAATATTTTAAGGGCATGCGTAAAT